AATTTTAGGGTTTATCACAGCAGGGGGGCATGAGTAGTTGGGACATGCGTGAGAAGATGAGCAAACAGTATTCGAGGCGGAATTAATGAAAGCAGGAGAGAGGGTACTGAGATGCAGCAGGGGGTGTGTTGTAGTCTGGAATCGGCATGCCAGTACTGCATGGTGCATGCTATCGCACAAGATGATCACATGCACCATGGCTTGCACACCTGCATGACGGCCCTGTGCTCATAGGCCGCGACACATGCTCCAGTCTCGAAGTAGGCGCTCTCTGGTAGGCGCAGGTGGTTCAGGCACATGCGGTCGCGAATGAGCGACAGGCGCCTGCGCATACACAACAGTTCAAAGGCAGGCACAAATACAGAAACATGTAAGTAGGAGGAGGAGAGTGCGGATTGGAGTGTTGTTGACAACGAGCAACAAATCTAATCCCCCAAGGCACTGACCTGTCCATCTGCTTCACGCGCCGCTTCTTCATCTTGTGCACGACAGCCACAATGTCCGCCTGGTGCATGATGTCAGGCATGATAACGAGGTAGGGATTGCCCCACACAGTCCCTGGGACATCCCACTTCCAGAGCACACACTGGAAAAGGGGATGTGGTGGGGAATGGTAGAGAAAGGTATTTGAGAGACTCGGCACACAACATGTGGGACAGTGCAATGGGGTATAGCACATCTCCCCAAGGTTTGAGCAACACGGAGTGCGTAGACTACACAGTCGCCCGGGGAACAGGTCGCTCACCTCAACCGGGTAGGTCGAGTAGGTCTTGCATGGGTCGTCCTGGCTTGATGTCAACCCTGCCGCCTCATTCACGATCCATTGCTGCTGTTCAGGCGTGCGCGGCGTGTTCCGTGCCTTTACAGCAACCAGATGCTCCTGGTGTAGCACAGGGGGTGGGATGGGATGAACAGGTAAGGGAGGTGAGATTATGAGGTCCGTCATGTGACATTCGGATGGCGATGGTTCTGAAGGCACGCACATCGCATGTTTGCTCACCTTTGCAGCATAGCAGATGCTGCACGGCATCCGGGATCCATGCGAGAGTGTGCAACTGATCTTGCCGCTCTCAGGGTAGTCGCACACCCAGGCGTATAGCAGGGGCCGCACGGTTTGCCAATCACCGAAAGGGTCCTTGAGACGGAACCCGCTGCAAGGAATAGGTATTGTGGCAACAGGATCAGGGATTTCGGCTTTGTGCATCGGCGAAGAGGGACAAGGGGGACTGTTACATACCGAAACGCTGCGCATACTATGACGTTGATTGGGTGACGACATAGCAAGACGGAAATAGAGTACGGACCTTTCCATGCCATCGAGAAGCGGCTGCAGCATGGTGATGACGCATCGCTGGAAGAGCATCACCTTCTCCACGGCAGACATTGCAGAAGGGGGGATAGGAAGGAGAGCAAGTAGCGTGTGCCCGGCTTTCCCCCATCGCTTGGCCTGGGAGATGTTTGCAAGCGTCATCATTAGCGGCCACGCCTTCTTCCGGCCTTTGTTGCTCATGTGCGTCACATCCGAGTATAGGATGATACCCCCCACGACTTCGGACCATCCAAAGTGTTCCTGCAAAGCACGACAAAGAGGGAAAAGGCACACGGTCAAACACCAACAAGGCAACATGTCGCCAGGCGGACTAAGCATGCTTCAAAGAACTCCCCACAAACATGACACACTGAAGATGCTCTCTACACATCAGTGCATCAACAGAGGCATGCGCACTCTTCTGGTTTTAGGTGGCAACGGGGTATTTCCATACCTGAGCATCGTTCCACCACGTTCCAGTTTCTGGCGTGGTATAGCGACGCTCCCCTGTGTCAGGATCCTCATCGATACGAGCCTTGAGCTTGAAGCCGGACGCGTTGTTGGTATGCCCAAACAGTTCGGCAAACGCCTGGCGTACAGTGGCAAGAGCAGGAGAGAACCAAACCCTGGTTAGTGGCGTTGAAGGTGGGGCAGATCTCACACAAGCCTAACAGAGGCAACGTTCAACAAGCACCAAATGGATGCGGAATCTGCATTTCACAGCCACGGATTTAGATTCAACTTACCTGCGCAGAGTTCTGGAAGAGAAGGCGCTGTGGCGGATGACCGTCAATCTCGAAGGTCGCCACTGACCATCCGCGATTGAGCCCGACCAAGCGCTCCATCTCGAACCGCTCCAAATCCTTGCTGTTCCGGATCTCTGAGATCACAAGAGGCGCAAGGCCGGGCTCCACCACGAGCTGAAGCAGGCCATTGATGTCGATCTCCGCCATTCCTATTCCGCCATTTACGCGCCGCACGAAATGCAGCAGCTTCAACGCAAGCGGATTGAGGGGCGTGGCATTGCTCTGCCCAGAGATGCATGTCGGCGGTGCGGCGTGACTCTCTTCACGGCGGCTCTCCGGATGCTCACTCGTGTCAGAGGCATGTGTTCCGGGAGGCGGTTGATGCTCACTTTCAGGAGCCCCCATGTTCACAGCCGAGGGTGTTGCGTCCCCGTCAGCTTCGGGCACGCGAGGAGGACCATTCACACCGTCGGTGTTGGACGCGTTAGACGCGGTAGGGGAAGCAGGTGCAGCGGGAGCGTCTGACAGAATGTCGTGGACGAACAGCAGAGCGTGTAGACCGGCGGACGGTGCAGACGAGGAGGGCCTTGCCACGGCAGAAAGCCCTTGACAAGGGGTCCGCCGTGACTTATGGCCGCCATAAACCTAGGCGTTGGGGAACCATCTGTTGCAGAACTCGCATACTACGCCTGGCAAAGAGCCCATGTATTCTAGATCTGTATAAGAGTGGTGGAATGTAGAGTGAGGAGACTAGCCAGTTTGAAGCTTGTAAACGCTTTTACTTCACGGTCAATGAAGGCTCAGACTCCAGCACAGTCATCGCCACAGCGCGAAGTGTCCACGGCGGCTTGGATCTCTGCACGCCTGGCACTTGATCGTGGCGCATTAGTGAGAGACTGGCTAACAATGGTCGCGCAGCGCGGCCGTGACAAGCCTAGATACAGACCGCCGACAGCACGACATAGGCCTTCTCTACAAGGCGTGTCGCCCCCTGTTAGAGTGATTACGACGTGAGCAGGGCCTTATGCAGTGGTGTACGGCTAGCTTGGTTGCAAGCGTGCGTGACGAGCACGGTGAGGAGTACGTGCCTCCATATTCAAAACTTTGGTTTTTGAATCGTGTGTGAGAGTCGAGGTGGAAGAGGAAGAGAGGGAAGAGATCTGTTTGGTGTTGTGATTCTTTCAAGAGTCTCTATAGGGGAGAGATCGCGATCACGTAGGTGTGCCCAAAGTGGTGCGCACCCCCATAGCCTTAATCCAAACCAGGTAATACCATTGTACAGTTACATATAACAAATTACTTAATGTCACTCATAATGATTATACGACCATACTTTACGGCATGCTCAATACCTTCCGGCATATTGACAACGGCACTGCTTAGAAACAGCACCGTTAGTGTGGTCTGCTACCATTTGGGAAGCAACACCATTCCACAACCGTTTCACCATGTCACGTAAGCCACGGGCCTGAACGCTGCAACGTCGCCGCGTCGGAACAGCGATGTCGAGAACGCATCTACGCTTGTGCGTTGGGCCTGTGCTTCATACCACTCCTTCTGGGCGCCTTGTTTAATGTCTGTGCAAGAATGGATGACAATCCAACGCCAAACCACAACGGATTCACCATGTCGCGCAACACACAGGCCGGAACGCGGCATCGTCGCACTGTATAAACACTGCTGTCGAGAACGCATCTACGCTTGTGCGTTGGGCCTGTGCTTCATACCACTCCCTCTAAGCACCTTGTTGAATGTCCGTGCAAGAATGGATGACGATCCATCACCATACGCAAACGGATTCACCATGTCGCGCAACCCCAGCAGGCCTGAACGCTGCATCGTCGCACAGTCTAAACATGGCTGTCGATAACGCATCACCGCTTGTGCGTAGGGCCTGTGCTTCACACCACTCCCTCTAAGCACCTTGTTGAATGTCCGTGCAAGAATGGATGACGATCCATCACCATACGCAAACGGATTCACCATGTCGCGCAACCCCAGCAGGCCTGAACGCTGTATTGTCGCACAGTCTAAACATGGCTGTCGATAACACATCACCGCTTGTGCGTAGGGCCTGTGCTTCATACCACTCCCTCTAAGCACCTTGTTGAATGTCCGTGCAAGAATGGATGACGATCCATCACCATACCACAAATTATTCTCGTTTACTATTGATCATCGTGTTAGAATGTCGTCCGCTATCGACAAACCGATGTGGCAAAGCCCTAAAGTGCGCAGTACATCTGTGTGACGTGAGAATCACCGATTAACTTACCCCAGCCCCATACTAAACCATTTGCAACTAAGTGTTTGATGAAATCTATTGTTGTATGTTTGAATTTGATTTAGCTGCTATGTGCAACACTATGCGTTCGCGACAACACTGTACTTTGCAGGGATTTTACTAATTTCGCACTTGGCGTTTCACAACCGTTGTACCCTTTGTAGTGATTGATGCGTTGGCAACCGTGATTGGCCGACGCATCTCAAACGAGTTGGCCCGCAACACAATCACGAGCCAAGAGGTACTTCAGCCAATGAGCGGCTGAGATCGAGCGGTAGGTGGGTTTATGCTAGGGTGGCTACACGTACACCGTCCGATATAGCCTGATAGGGTTACAGTAATCTCTCTAGTCTCGCAACCCACCCCAACCACCCTCGTGCCCCACCCACCTGCTTCTGTCACTCCCTGGTCCAACACTTTCATGCTGCTCGCTGTTTGACACACGCCTCTCCGTCGCGGCCATAGCTCTCTACTTAGTGGCTACTAGATCAGTTTTAGATGAAGCGGCGGTTTTCGGATACAGATAACAGTGATCGACCGTCGATAATCCCATCGTGGGATTCCGTTGCAGTACCCCTTCGAAACCGGCACAACCCTTCCGCGCGATGTGCTAATTTGCTTTCCTACAATGACCATGACTCATGCAACACGTAACCAAGCAATGGTGGAGGAACAGGCCGGCCGCCACGCGACAAGGAGGACGTCTCAACAGATAGATAGGGAGAGCAGTGGCGGCGCTAAAAAAACTAATGCGTCCGTCGCGCCAGGCATTGGGCAGAAAAAAGCGGCGCCAAAAAAGGTCGAGCGCGGTCAAGAGGAGTCCGGCAAGAAAGCGGAAGACAAGGAGCCTAAACCAAAGCCACGCAAGCGTGTTTCTACAGTGCGCAAAGAAGCGGATGTTGCCTCTGCTGGAACCGAGCCCGGTCCGAGTAACGACGGCACCACTGGCGGCAACAAAGATACGGGGCGAGGGAGCGCGAGTCTTGCAGTCCCGTCGGCGGAGATAGAGGGATCGGCGACAGGGGGAAACCACGGAGGCGATCCCCGCGCCGAGCATGCCGTAACCAAGGAGTCCGAGGCGGCGGCAACGCAACACCATCTGACGCTGCTCCAGCCGACCGTGGTCGAAGTTTCTGCAGCCGTGCTGGATAAGGACAAGGTGGGGGAGCACGAGTCGGAGGGGCAGGTCGGTGGCTCTCCGCCTTCTGGTGGACGGGGGAGGCGTAGGCAGAGGAGGAGCGATGGGGAGGACGATTATGACACCGCTGTGCCCGGGGACCTCACCACGCGGGCGAAGAGTCGGCAGACGACAGGCAGTGCTGACGACGCCGGAGGCGCGGAAGTTGGGACAACGCGAGGCGCCAAGGAAGCTAGTGGCAAGGCAGGCGGTCAAGCATTGCGCCAGAAGGGCCGACCCGCAGCAAGAAAAACATCCGGCGGAAGGAGAGGCAAGAAAGCAATGACGGGGACGAGGCAAAAACGGGGCGATGAACACCCTGGTGATGCGGAGGAGGAGGAAGATGAGGAGGAGGATGCGGAGGAAGAGGAGGATGAAGAGGATGCGGAGGAGGATGACAGGGATGTTGGGGAGGATGAAAAAGATGAGAATGATGGCGGGGAGGACGAAGAGGAGGGTGAGGATGAGGAGGAGGAGGAGGAGGAGGAGGAGGAAGAGGAGGAGGAGGAGGATGAGGAGGAGAAGGAGGAGGAGGAGGAGGAGGAGGAGGAGGAGGAGGAGGAGGAGGAGGAGGAGGAGGAGGAGGAGGAACAAGGTGACGACGAGGAGGATGAGGAGGAGGAGGAGGCAGCAGAGGAGGAGGAGGAGGAGGAGGAGGAGGAGGAGGAGGAGGAGGAGGAGGAGGAGGAGGAGGAGGATGTGGCGCCAGTGAAGGGATGGGGCGGGCGTGGCAGACGGATGAGTGGTACAGGGAAGGTGGGGGGCCGGACTCGCCCTTCCCGAAAACGCGGGGCAATTAACGCCGCGCGCGGCGAAGCAGCGGGCAAATAGAAGGCGCGTAAGGTGAAGGTCGAAAGTGAAGGGGGTGGTAAAAAGCAAGGGAGCCAGGGAGCAAAAGGGGATGGAGGAGGAAAGGGTGGCTGCGGCAAAGGGGTTCCAGTGGGTACCGGCAAGAAAGAACCAGCGAGTCTCAACGGCCTTGAGAGTTTCACCCCAAAAAAGTTGGAATTTGGAGCGTCAGATCGAAATTCTACTCAACGGCCGAGATCGGATGCGAATTTCGACTTAGAGAGAATTACGCGACCTACAGAACCAGCGTTCGTTATTTCTACAGTCGATTCTGTGAGAATAAGAACGATGAATGAATTGACTATGAATGAGAAAGGTACAAGTATGAAACCCTAGAAAAGCTGTACCCCCTATTGTCTACCCCACTGCAGCCTACACAGGCTATATCATATATGTCTGACACACCCCCATAGGTAAAGTGGGGGAGAACAAGGGGTCACACGACCAGTCAAGCAAAGCAAAGCAAGCTCAGGGTGGATCACAACGTCACCACACATTTCGAGCACAGGTTCAAAGTCCACAAGGCCAGTTCACATGCAGGATTATACATCAAAGTGAACAAGCAAGAGAGTGATCACAACCTAACAAAGGTAAGCATGCAGGAGCATGTATATATAGATCACACTACAAGCAAAGTCAAGAGGTAAGCAAGTGAGGCCCGGTAGGCACAAGACCTAGCATAGTACAGAAACGCTGATGATCACAAGGCTGAAGTGCCTTGGTGAAGATATCAGCAGTGTTGGCCTCAGAGGCCACGTAAGCAAGACGAAGCTGACCACGCTGCTGCAACTCTCGAGCAAGGAAGTAGCGCAGAGCAATGTGCTTCGTTCTGTGCTCTAGTCTGTGCACTTGACACAAGGCCAGCATGGCCTTGTTGTCAACGTACAGAACTGGAGGAGAACGAGGCGCCTCTCCAAAGTCAGTCAGCAGGTAGGTGAGCCAGCGAAACTCCTGTGCAGTCATGGCCCCAGCGTAGATCTCAGCCTCACAACTGGAGCTGAGAACAGAGGACGAGCGGGTAGACCGCCATGAAACAGAGCCGGAACCAAGGCTGAAGGTGTAACCCTGTGACGACCGCTGCGTAGCCAAGTCGTCAGCCGAAGAAGCGTCTGCGTGACTAATGAGGACAACTCGAGCCCGTCCTCCAAGCACGAGCCCCATGCCCGACGTACTGCACAGGTAGCGCAACACCTTCTTCGCTGCAGCCATGTGCTCTGGTCGGTGTCTCCCAGGAGCAACATAGCGTGCCAAGATGCTAAGAGGGTATGCCAGATCAGGTCGAGTGCAGGTAATCAGGTGCATGAGGTAGCCAACAAGCTCTGGGTATGGGCCACTCGGCTCTACGGACTCATTCAAAGGCAGAGCTGAGAGCAAGTGGCGAGTAGACAGAGGAGTGGCCTGAGGCAAGGAGTACGTGAAGTCAAAGCGCTGAAGGACCTGCTGCACCATGTGTGACTGAGTCAAGGTAATGGTGCACCGTGCTCTGTCCCGGGTGATCTGCAAGCCAAGATAGCTGCGCAGTTCACCCAGGTCTGTGCACGTGTGTCTCTTCTGCAGCTCCGACTTCACGTGGATGAGTCCCTCAGTGTCAGCAATGGCAAAGACCAAGTCGTCGACGTACAGAAGGATGTAGAACGGCGGCAGCGAAGTGTCGGTGCGCAGAAACAGTGACGGGTCAGCAGTAGAAGGAGCAAACCCAAGAGCCGCAAGCGTAGTCCTCAGTGTGTCGTGCCACTCACAGGGCGCCTGGCGGAGACCGTAGACTGGCCGCTGGAGGCTCCACTGGGTACCAGGAGGAAACGCCCCAGTGAAGCCAGGTGGGCGGCGCAACCAGATCTCCTCGTGCAGGCTGCCCTGTAGGAAAGCAGTGCTGAAGTCAAGAGAGTGAAGCTCGTAGTCACGCTGAGCAGCGACATGCAGAAGAACCCGAAAAGTGGTCATCTTTGGGGTCGGGGAGAAGGTATGGAAGAAGTCAACTCCCTGTCGCTGACTGAAGCCTCGAGCAACGTAACGCGCCTTGAAGACAGGTGGAGAACCCGGCGGCCGCTTCACCTTGAAAATCCACATGCCACAGACGATGTTCGCCCCAGGAGGGGGAACCTCGTCGACGTAGGTGCCTGTGGACTTCCAGGATGCCATCTCTGCGTCCATGGCTGACTGCCACTGAGAGGAGTAGGGACCCTCTATCGCCTCTGCGTAAGAGCGCGGGGTCGGGATGTCTGGTGCATCCGGGTCTCCCTCATGTGCAATCAGCATGGACACGAGATGAGGTACAGCGACTGCAAAGCACTCAAAGTCCTCCTGCTTGTCCTCAAGGACGTCCGTGCCAAGAGCACACTCACCCCCGACGGACGGAGGACAGATAGACTCAGACTCAGCAACAAGACTCGCGGCGTAGTCTACATCACAAAAACCCCATGCCAAGTTTGGACCAATTTTGATTGGGGTTGTCTTCGCGTAAAAAAATCCGGACCCAATTTCGACCGACGGTTGGAATCATTTGATAGGAGCTCTGACACACATCTCGTGACAAGGTTTGGCTTGGGTCAAGTTTCAAATTGGCACGCGAGCTTTTTCGGATGACATTCGGGCGCAATCCGTTTTGGTGCAATTTCGGTACCAAATTTTTTAAAACTGGATTTTGGTTTTGTTTTATTTTGGGTATTGAGGATTTCATAATTACATTCAATATTCCGGCTTACAACAACCATTATTCAGCATTCTAACAACCAGCAGTTTTAGCACCAGGTCAAATAGCCTACGCAATGCTGGGCCCTGCAATCGCCCGGTGGGCAAGAATGACATCTCCAAGGTCGCTATCGTCAATGAGGAACTTGTTCGGGACGACGAACGCACGCTGAGCCGGATCGTTTGGGATCCGCCACTCCACGACGGCAAATTGTATCATCTGTTTGACCTTGTCACACCACTCGAAGTAGTCTGGCCTGTTTTGTTCCGGCTGGGCCGGAATTCGCTTGCGACGCTTATCCTGCGGAAGGGGCCACTCGATTTGCGATGTGGTGTAGGGCTGGGTGGATGGAGTATGGGGGGGGGGGGGGGGGGGGGGGGGGGGGGGTTACGGGTATATGGGCCAACTAAAAGCGGTGAAGATGACACACCCTACGTAATCGCAAACGCCTAAGCGACCAGGGATTTAGATGAAGTACAGGCAAGGGGTTTAGGGGATGAGGCATGGGTGTACAGACACATATCTACATCCTTACCGAAAGCAGGCCCCATGCCACCATGCGGCTCTTGAACTTGGTGAACACGACACCGCCCCTTTTGAAGGAGAGCTTGAACGCATAAGCAAACAACATCCATGAGTCAACATCGTCGAGTCAAGTGGTTGTTTCGTGTGAAACAGCTCCCAGACGAGGCCCCGGTGTTGAAAGCGCGTTACGTAGCCAAGGGTTTCACCCAGCAGCAGTACCACGACTTCTTCAAGACTTTCTCCTCCACAACTAAACCTCCCACTATTCGCACGCTTATGGATGTCGCAGCACGAGAAGAATTTGAGATCAAATCCATGGATGCCTCATCAACTTTCCTACAAGGACGCCTCAAGGAGACAGTGTTCATGGACAAACCTGAAGGCTTCCCAGGAGAATTCCCTCCCAACACTGTCTAGAAGCTGAATCGCCCCGTCTACGGCCTTAAGCAAGCCCCTCGCGAATGGCACAACAAGGTGAAAGACGTCCTTCTCTCCCTGGACTTCCACCCCTCGTCTGCTGACCCGACTCTCTTCATTCGCCGTCACTCTGAGCCATTCTACATCCTTGTCTACGTCGATGACTTCATCCTCGTTGCCAAGGACTCGGCCCAGATGACCTCTGTCCTGGCGGCCCTGAGGAAGGCCCTCCAGATGAAAGACCTCGGTGATTTCAAGCACTTCCTGGGGATGGAGATCACACGTGATCGCAAGGCTCGCACCATTTCCCTCTCCTAGGAGTTCTACATCAACAATATGCTCAAGCGGTTTGCGATGGAGCTGTGCACACCTGTTGCCACACCGCTGCCACTGCAACACCTCCTCACGGCCCCAGCTGTACCCACACCAGAGGCCTGCTTTGAGCCATACCCGGAGCTTGTTGGGTCCCTCATGTACGCCATGATGTGCACCCGGCCTGACTTGGCATATCCCGTCAGTGTCCTCTTTCGCTACGTGGCCCCTGGGCGCTTTACTGATCTTCACTGGAAGGCAGCGAAGCGGGTACTGCGTTATCTCCAGGGCACCAAGTCTCACGTTCTCACACCCGGTGGGCTCTCCCCTCCTCGGCTAGAAGGTTACACCGACTCCTCTTGGGCCGATGACCAGACCGACCGACGCTCCTTTCAAGGGTACTGCTTCACCCTTGGGAGCGGAATTGTCAGTTGGCGCTCCACCAGGTTGTCAGCAGTCTCCCTCTCCTCCTGTGAGGCAGAGCTCTTCGCTGGCACCATGGCTACTCAAGAGGCCCGATGGCTCACCTTCCTACTCCAGGAGCTTGGCTACCCTCAGCCCACCCCCACCCTCTGGTGTGACAACCAGAGTACTATCCACCTCTCCCAAGACCCTGTGTATCACACTCGCACCAAACACATCGAACTTTGGCAATTTCTTCATCCGTGACCTTGTCCAGCGGGAGCAGCTGAACGTGGAGTACGTTGCATCTGACTGCAACCTGGCTGATCTGTTCACGAAGCCCCTTGGGAAAGTTCCTCACCACCGTCTCCTTGGCGCCATGGGGCTCTGTGCTCCACCTTCTCTGCCCTGAGTTCGATTGACGCCTATGGGGGGGTATTAGTGTTAGCCCTCAATCTCACACTTTGTACTTTGTATTTTCTATATCCTAGAGTAGTGTAGTTTGCACTTTATGAGTGGTTGGGTGTACACCTACATCCCAACCAAACCCAAATGTAATCTCCAAGCAATCTCCAACCCACCAATTGGAGATTGCCTTGGGATTACCCCCAATCCCTGGGGATTGCCCCCGATTCCC